TGTAAGAAAAATATCCATATTTAAAATGTTATAAATACTTTTTTTCTCACTTCTGCTGACTGTCATACGTGCAATACACTTTATTTGATTACTTTTGGACTGTTGAAAAAAAAAACACCCGTTTACTCCCATTCAAACGCTTGGAAGAGCAAGGAAAAATTTCAATATAACTCCGATTGGATTCGTCTGAAAGAAGAAAGTCATATACACCTAGGATGCTTTGAGGGTAAGTAAAACATGGGCTAATTTTCATTTTTGGGTGAACTAACCCTTTAAACCAGTGTAAAGAGTACAATTTTAAGTATGACATTACTAAGAACACTTTTTAAAAGACAGTCATAAATGTGAACTTTCTTTCAGTGACCTTTAATTTCATTGATATAATCTGCAAGTACAGTTTAAAAAAAAAAAAACTTTTATAATTTGAAGTACACTGCAAATGCACATTCAATATCCATGTTTATATCCATTTTAATTATATTAAACAATTCTGCTACCTTGAATAGATTTTTGGACAAATTTCACATCATTTTTTTTTTTTTACAAACGGTATCACATCCTCCATTATTAAACTAATATATCAAACCTCTTCTGCCCTAGTATGGACCATCTTACTGTGATATGAGGCTTGTACCTGAAGTCTTTGCGGTTGTAGAAGTCCCAAGCAGAAGCATGGCAGACCACTTCACGTCCATCTGTTGGCTTTTCCAGCATGGACTTGTTCCAGAACTCAGGAGGCATGGGCAGAAGACCTATAGAAATGAAGAACCGGTCCGATTCCTGGAACATCCGTTTGGGGTCCCAACCCTGAAGAACCAAAGAGCACCGCACAATCAGAGGACACCATACAGACATTTACAGGTATGTATGAGTGCCATTTATGTCCTTCATATGCCATTGCACAAAGCCTTCACCAAACAATATATCATTTACAACGAACATTTGTTTGCAATGTTTGTATTTCAATAATCCAATGAGATTTTGAATGGACACGGAGGCATAAAACGTGTCTATCATACCTGTTTGCACTCCATGCAAACAAGATTGCTATTTGTTGCTATTTAGGCTTGGTGCAAACCGTATCTACCACTATTTACACACAGTGTAAACAGCATCTACCTTCTTTGACACCTAATGTAAACAGCCACTGCTTTCAGAAAACGGGACTTTTTCCAAGAAATCAGACTGTCGGAATAGAAAAAGATTAAAGAATGTGTTTTTAGTTGTAATCTTACTTGAGCAATCATGGCTGGCGTGGCATCCACTTGTGTGGCATCAGGGTATGGAATGACAAGGTCCATGATAGCAGACCACGTTTGGGCCCACATATTTCCTGAGAAAAACCAAGCAGAGAAGAACATCAGCCAACTGAAAGGCAGGATGTGAGAGATGGTGTAGTATCTCTGACCAATGGCACTGGAGGAAACCACTGGGCTTGGAATTCCAAGCCATTTAATCTCCAGCCATGTGGAACCATTGCGTACACACAAACACAAGTACACACAGTTTCCCACACGTGCAAATGTAGCCACTGATATGTACACACACACAGTCACGCTTGATGATTTTGAAAGCACATTAAATCCTGTCGATTGCTTTGGAGTTGCCGCAGACAACTACAGAATATCAATGTAAACCCTCAAGAAAAAAGAAAAAGATGTGGACGGTGTTTTTTTAGCAGAAAAAAAAAACATAATACCCATGCCATTTTCAGTGATTTTAATCTTTGATAAATTTAGCTAATTTCAGTAAATTCAGCAATGAAAAACATTTCATACTTTTCACACAGTGTTTTTTTTTTTGCCGAAATTATGTAGATTTTGCCTAGTTGTTCATGTTTAACCACTTCTGTGAAAGAAACTTTGGGTTTAAAGAATTATGTAGGGATGCATGGTTAGAAAAAGATTCGAAAATGTTCAAATCAAATAATTTGCTATATTTGCATTGAGGTGGCAAAGGATGCAGAATTCAGATTTGGCTGAAAATAAGAGTTCACCCCAAAAAAAAAAAAAACTTTGTCATCATTTACAAAGTCATGTTGTTCAAAAACTATATGATTTTTTCCCCCTGTAACACCACTCCACTCAACTATTCTATTCTATTCTATTCTATTCTATTCTTAGTAGTAGTACACTACTATTAGGTAGTACACTTAGTAGTACGCTGCTACACACAATGGTGCCAAAAATATACTGGTAATTCGTTAGACATATTGATAGGAATATTAATTAGGAATAAATAGGCATAATTAGTCAAAATCATCTTCTTATGTGACGTTATGTTAAGGGGTGGACCTTCATGTTTAAATTTTTCTAAATATTGTACATTTTTGTATGATTCACATGACGATGAGCTGTTGTCACATTGAACGATAAATTGGCTAAGATATTTCACAAAGCTTGTAATATTCCTGTTGTAAAAATGGCCCTGATGTGTGAAATGTATTTCATTGCTGAATTTACTGAAGTGAGCTAAATTTATCAAAGATTAAAATCACTGAAAATGGCCTGGATATTATATTGACCACAACATATCATTATATGTAAAGTTTATGTATTATTTATTTCCAAATGCCCCTTTTGAATCAATTTAGTTTCATGTGGACCCTGATAATTATGGAAGGTGTCTTACTGACTTAATGACAATGTTACAGGAATCGTTTAGATAAAAACATACATTTTGACAAAAACTGCTTGAGGTCCAACAATGATAAGTATTTTAAGAAAAATAATTTTTCATTGGATCTTTTTAGGGATGAAAGTTAAAGGCTTGAGGCTGTTGTCATGGTTTGCTATATTGTTTATATCGCAGTATGACATTTTTAAGTCCAGCACAGGACTGCTCAAAGTAATTTACATTAGATTGATAAAGAAATTTGCATGAATGAGAAAATCAAAAGAGAGACATGCTTAATGCTAAAAAGAGTTATTAAACGTAATAAGCCGTGAAAAAACTCAGTCTGTCATCTGTCATGTCAGGGTGCTGAATTGAGCTTCTTTCACTAAAATGGTCAAATACATGCAGAATGATGTCAAACATACCCGTCAGAGAGAGTATTCAAGTAAAACATTTGTTTATGTCTTGAATGAATGTAAACAGTTGGAAGGAAATCCCAAGGATGTTTGATTAGGTCTTGACAGCAGCCTAATAAACCTGCTGCTGCTATCTGTGTGCCTAATGTTCATCAAACAAGCAAAGAAAAGGAGAGAATCATTCACTGCTTTTGACTTAATAACTTCAGTAGCTTTAATAAAAATTACTGTAGATTTAATTCATACAGTGATGACTATGCACCATTTTATTTTTACATTTAATTATTCAGCAATACTACAAACCTTTAATTTAGTTTATTTTGTCTTGCAATATTAATGTATTTTTCTGTATCTCGTCTGTTCTAGAGACATGACATTACAGTTTTACTTATCAAGCATGTGGTCTTGTACACTGAAATACAATTTTGAATGTAGCGTGAACAAGTGAAAACAGTTACCAAAATCGCAAATAAAATCACAATAGCCATGAAAAGAATGGAAATGTGATTATTTTGTCTATACCGCGCAGCTCTAATACACACACACCTTCACAGAAGAGCATTAGAACATGCACAGCTGTTCAGGTGTTGTTGTTTTTTAAACGGGGATTATTCAAACGATCACACCTGTGACATCACAAGCATTCCAGAAGCTTTGGACCATCCTGGTCAGTTGCTTATAGCAGCAGTAGAGACAGAATATCAGACTTCCTCTGATGAACTACCAGTTTGCGGTTAATCATTACATTATCACTACCAGTAGATTTGCTCAGATGGCTAACAGAATGAGCTCCGGCTTTTCTTCTCCAATATCACTTGGAGACATGTCCAATTCTGATGGAAACACAGGTCGTCAGATTGAGATGAGATGCAGTGTTAAAAGAAAAAGAGGGAATTCTGGCAGATCAGAGAGCAGAGAACAAAAAATGATTAGATCAGACCATCGCTCTGCTTCTGATTACTCCGTGGATTCCCTCAGCTCAGGCTTTTCTTCACGAGCACTACTTGGAGATACATCCAGTTCTGACCTAAGCTCAGTCAGTCAGGTTGAGAGGAGACGGGGTGTTAAAAGAAGAAATGAGAAATCTGGCAGATCAGAGAGTGTAGAGCGGAAAAGGAGAACATTGGAACTCCAGTCTGATTCTTTGATTGATTCCCTCACCTTTGCGTTTTCCTGCTTGTATATTAGTACCCCACCAGCAGCATGTGGGGAGACACCTATGAAAGGGTCCAGCAAAGATGAAGAACAATCTGGACTGTCTCACCTCAACAATAGTGAGGTCAGACCTGTGCCTGGCAAAGATGAAGAACAGTCTGGACTGTCTCACCTCAATGACACTGAGGTCACATCTGGAGAATCACCTGTGAAAGGCTCCAGAAATAATGAAGAACAGCCAGGACACTCTCACTCCAACAATATTGAGGTCAGACCTGGAGGATCACCAATGAAAGGGTGCATCATAGATGATGAACAGCCTGGACCATTTCGCCCAGTTAAGCTGGATCAGGGTGTTAAAAGAAAAAGAGAGAATTATGGCAGGACAGTGAGCAGTGAATGGAAAAAGATCAAATTAGACCCTGATTTTCACCCTCCAGCACCACATAGAAACGCATCCAGTTCAGACCCAAGTGCAGGCGGTCAGACTGAGAAACAGGGCGGTAAAAGAAAAAGAAAGACTGACAGAAGAAGCAGATCAGAGCACCAGTTTGAAACTTTAATTGATTCACTCAGCTCTGAGTTTTCCCACATGTACATTAGTACCCCACTATTAGCATGTGTGAAGACTCGTACAGCCTTCTAAAATGAGATTGATAAGGCTATCGCAATGTGGAGGCCTTTTACAGTGCAATACCATATTTAGTGTTCTACACTAAGATCACAGTAAGATTCTATCATATGACTATAAAGCCCCTAAGGGTACATGCTGATAGAATTATTCATCAGGCAAGTGGCCGCATGATAAGCGGGAAAATTACGCAGTGTAGTCTTTATCCAGTCATAAAAACAGAATTCACAGTTTAACGCTGAATGTCACGGAATTTGTCAAATTTTGAATGAATTAATCAAAAGTAAGTCATTACACTTAAATCAAATCACGATATGGACTAGTATTTGTAAATATTAAGCCGCAAAAGTCGATTTAAATATGAATCCTAAATGTTCTGCCTGTCTGTTAATGAATGGCGCAGACGCGTGGTTTCATTTACTACACACACTGAAGCGCCCGTGACACTCGCGGTGATTTCAGCGTCTGCCGTCTCACTAAATGAGGACGTAAACACATGAACAACATCTCCAGAACTGCTCTGAGAGTCACTTCATGAGCATTTTAGCTTTTGATTTGAGTAAAACTAGCGTCATATCACATACACAGAACTGTAAAGGTATTCACGGCAACCCGCCAAAATAAAAGTCTGGTTTGATTTGAAGACATTGTGCCTATAACTATTTTTCAGTAGAATGTACATAGCCTACTGCTACTACTAAAATGAAACAAACATTATTTTTTTAAGGAATAATAACAGAAAACATTTCTTCCATGTTTTAATTTTAATAGTAAATCCCCTTTGTTTGCCAAAAAATCTTGTTTGCTTAATTTTCAATAATTAAAAGATAAATGATAAATTAAATTAATATTTTATGCCTTCATTTGATAACCAGAAAAATGTAAATACACAACAGAGAATTTCTGAGGGGGGGAAAAAAATTCGTTGTTTTATGCATTCAAATAATTAGACATGCTAAAACACAGAATTTGGTAACAATAAAAAAAAATAAAACATTTTATAGGGCCCTAAACATATAATTTTTGTTAAACTTTTAATAAATTGATGTGAAAATGTAT